AAAGAAAAAACTGTAATTTGTCAAGTTAGCTTTTTTAAATTTAAAAAAAGAAAATTAAGTTACCCAATTTTAAAACCCGGTTTTTCTACTTATATGCCAAGCATTATCTTTACAAGTAAACTCAATTATCTATGTATTTTATATTCCTTGAATACAAAAAGGAAGCAACTTCAAATCTGTAATAGATGTTTAAAATGTCTATTTTGCTTTATTCTGCTTTCTTTTTTCTCTTTTAAAAAAATTACTCGGCCGGGCACAGTGGCTCACGTCTATAATCCCAGCACTTCGGGAGGCCAAGGCGGGCAGATCACCCAAGGTTAGGAGTTCGAAACCAGCCTGACCAATCTGGTAAAACCCCACCTCTACTTAAAATACAAAATTAGCTGGGCGTGATAGCACTTGCCTGTAATCCCAGCTACTTGGGAGGGTAAGGTAGGAGAATCACCTGAGCCCGGAAGGCAGAGGCTGCAGTGAGCCAAGATCACACCATTGCACTCTAGCCCGGGCAACAAGAGTAAAACTCGCATGTCAATAAATTAATTTTTTTAATGATTTATTAAAAAAAAAAATTACTTGGCCCAGCACAGTGACTCAAGCCTGTAATCCTAGCACTTTGGAAGGCTGAGGCAGGTAGATCGCTTGGGCTCAGTTCAAGACCAGCCTGGTCAACCTGGTGAAACCCCATCTCTACAAAAAATACAAAAATTAGCTAGGTGTGGTGGCGCACCCCTGTAGTCTCAGCTATTCTGGAGGCTGATGTGGGCGGATGACCTAAACCTTGGAGGCTCTGCCTTTCCATCCACAAATACTTTCAAGAAGTGAGTGGATGACAATGCACACTAGGAAGACTGGTTCTAGGAAGCAAGAGACAAATCCCATTTCTTGAATGCCATCAGTAGCCATCTGTGACAGGACTGTGTCTCCTTTGCCAATGAAGGGATTGGGGTTCCAAGGGCTGTGACCTCCCTTAGGTCAGGAATCTGGTGAGAAGCAGATCGCTGGGCCCAGAGCACGTGCTGTTTCCACCCTCCTAAATGCTCCAGCCTTAAAGTAGATGCCTGCCCTTGAGAAACTGCAAAGACAGTGAAAGTTTAACAGGGTAAACAGCTGAGAAGAGAGGGAAAACCTAACTCGAGGCTAAGTCTCTTCTACATAATTAAATCAGCCCATCTTGGTGCAGAGTTTTTCAGAGGCTGCATGCTTGAAACTATCTATAAAAGGAAATGCAATTAAGGAGACTTTTTAATATATCTGATTCTTGACTGCCCTTGCTCTAGGCAAGACCTTAATTCTACTTAAGGATAGCTATCTTTGAAAAGTTATGTAAATTGCAAGGTATGGGGAGAAAAGAAACAGGAACCCTTTCACCAGAGGCAAATGAGAAGCACACTGAGAAGGCAGCACTGTAGTAACAGAGCTCCAACTCACACAATGGCCATCTCAGCTCATTTGCCACCTACAGCTGTGCCCTGCAGACACATGCAACTCCACCTCATTATCATTGTACTCCCTTTCCTAAATTAACCAAAACAGGAAACTCTTTTCAGAAATTAGCTGACCATGAGTTGACAGTAACATGTTGTAAAATATGATCTTTTCTCATTTGGTACAGCTGGAAATTGAAGAAAACTTCAACATATGTCCAGGGTTCTTTTTTTAAAACTCTTAGGTAAATTCCAGAATTGGAGAAGTGGGCAACTGGGCAACTCATTCTCCCTCTACAAGCAACGACATGGGAGGAGAAAGGCATCAATCAAGAAGACATTATTTCATTTTTATCAATGGAGTTACTCATGTCAAACTAACAAAATGGGCTGGACACAGTGGCTCACGCCTGTAATCCCAGCATTTTGAGAGGCCGAGGCGGGTGGATCACGAGGTCAAGAGATCGAGACCATCCTGGTCAACATGGTGAAACCCTGTCTCTACTAAAAATACAAAAACTTAGCTGGGCATGGTGGTGCATGCCTGTAATCCCAGCTACTCAGGAGGCTGAGGTAGAAGAAGTACCTGAACCCAGGAGGCGGAGGTTGCAGTGAGCCGAGATCGCGCCATTGCACTTCAGCCTGGGTAACAAGAGCGAAACTCCATCTCACAAAAAAAAAAAAAAAAAACTAACAAAATGGAGCCAGAGGACATGAAGAAAGGGCCCTCATGAAAGTATGATAATGACAGGAACTATGCCAGGAATTCCTTGGAGCCACAGTATTACAGATAAGCCGGTTGCTTGCACAGGACACTTACCTGGTGTGCCCGTCTCCAATGGACTAATGCCAACTCCTACAATAAGCCTCTGTCACCAGTGGTTTTTGTTTCAAAACTGCTTAGGTGAACTTCCCTTTTTGGTCTTTAAAAAAAAGTTGCCATTTGCTCCAACTTCTTTGGAGGTACTTGTGATCCGGCATAGCACACGTATCTAAATTGTAATCCCCTATTATTCCCAAATAAACTACAGTTTCAGTATCCCATATCTGAAATGTTTGGGACCAGAAGTGTTTAGAATTCTGGGTTTTTTTGGATTTTGAAATATTTGCATATACACAGTGAGATAACCTGAGGATGGGACCCAAGTCTAAACATGAAATTCATTTATGTTTGATGCATACCTTATACACACAGTCTGAAGGTAACTTTACAATATTTTTAATTTTGATGATGAAACAAAGTTAGTGTACAATGAACCATTATAAAGCAAAGGTATCACTATCTCAGCCACGCATACTGGCAATCTGTGGTTGCCTGGCATCGCCATCATCCCTGACTCTGAATTTATACGCTACCAATAAGACAATCACTTTCTTACACTTATTCACACATAAGTCCTTACCAGCAAAATATATGACACACCATTAATACAGCAAAATACAAGCAGCACAGCAACATCAACAGAACACCTGCATCAACTGCTAAACAACAGAACAACAGACAATGGCTGGCTGTCAGTCCACTGTACAGCCTGCATTTCTGAGTGTTAACAGCATCCTCTTTACAGTTGTGCAGTTGCATTTGAAAAAAAAATAGAGATGGGGGTTTCACTGTACTGCCAAGGCTGGTCTTGAACTCCTGGACTCAAGCGACCCTCCCGCCTCAGACTCCCAGAGTGCTGGGATTACAGGCGTGAGCTACTGTGGCCCAGCTATGCAACTGCATTTCTACTGAGAACCTTCACAGGTCAGATACAAGATTTTCCACTGTGTCCTCATGTCAGTGCTCAAAGTTTCAGATTCTGGAGCATTTCAGATATCAGATGTCTGGATTTGGGACGCTCAACCTGTATTTGGAGAGCAGGTCTCTCTGGTGCTTATTTTAGGCTAAATAAGACAGCATGCCTGAATTAGCTGGGCACCACAGTTCATCAGAGCACCTGTAGTCACACCTACTTGGGAGACTGAGGCGGGAAGATTACTTGAGCTAGGGAAGCAGAGGTTGCAGTGAGCCAAAACTGCCCCACTGCACTCCGGCCTGGGTGATTGAGCGAGACTCCATCTCAAAAAATTTAAGACATCTAAATTTTAAAACAGCACGTTTGGTATAGTTCAGCTCTCCTGACCCACTACTCGGCTCTGGGCCCACTCTGTCACTCCAGGACACATTATCCCACATCTAACACAGCAGCAGGTAGAGGCAGGACTGCGACTGGCACTGCTCTTTACCCCTGCCGGGTGTAGAGGGCTCCTTGCAAAGCTGTTATTTAAACTAAAGAAGTCAGAAAAGGTGCCCCTGGGGTTAGAGGTAGTGACACGCTACTATCTTCAGCATGGGACACACTACAGATGTTTCAACAGATGAATTGGTAGGTTCAGAAGATAAAAATGGAGAGAGGCAGGCAGCTGTGCAGGGTAAGTCCCAGTGACATGACATTTCCATCTCCAAAAGGTCACTTGGGCACCAGCAAAAAAAAAAAAAAAAAAGGCAGACTGATTGACGGGCTGGCGTGATCACTTAGTACGTTCGTTCTTTCATTCACTAAGTACATACTGCACACTTACATGAGCCAAGCCCTACTCTAAGAAGATGGAGGTATAAGTCAGGGGAGCCGCAGCAGTTTGGATTTTAGCCCAAGTTGGAGGAAGTTAATTTTTAAAGCCCCAGTTCTGCCATTTTTAAACTGTATAAAGTTGACCTCTCTGAACTTCTGTTCCTCTTAATAAATGACCTACAAATTAGAGTTCTCAAGAGAGCTGAGCAGCAGAAGTCAGTGCCCAAAATGTGGAAGATCGTGGTAATTACAGGTGAAGGACCCCAAGCTTAAGGTTAAATGACTTGCACCAGGTGTCAAGTAGAAGATCTGTGACTCTTATTAGGTAGAGCCGGCGGCCGGGAAGCCTGCAGGAAGTACGCATTTCGCCGAGGAGGAATCTGAGGCCGGGGAAGAAGAAAACCCCGCCAAGGTCGACTCAAAAAGCTGGCACCGCCGGGATTCGAACCTCACGCCCACCGAGTTTCGTGGCTGGCGCGCGCCCTGACACCACCCGTTACAGTGGAAACGGCTGGGCGCGTGCTCTCCCACTCGCTCCTTCCTTTTTTTTTTTTTTTTTTTTTTTTTTTTGCGGCGGGATACCCCAGCAACTGAACGTGAGCCGCAGGACGCAGCTACGTTCGCTCTCCTCCCCAGACCTGAATCCCTCCGCGGCCGGCGGCAGGCGCGCTGCTTCCCGACTCGACGCTCGAAACGGCTTCCCGCGCGCTGCGCCCCACCCCCACCCACCCAGCCTCTACCCCAACCCCCAGCCCGGCTCACCTGCCGCCCGCGTCTCCATGGCAACGCCCCCACCGCGGAGGAAAAAAAAGCTTCGGTGTCTTCTGGTCCCCCTCCCGTGCTGACCGAGAAGGCGGGGCGCCCCACTGACGCTTCGCTCTTTATTTTTATTTTTTTAAGAAACGAGCCGGCGAGGTTATGGCGAATCTGCGGCATCCAACATGGCGGATGGAGTCTTCGCCCTCCTCCCCACGGGGTGCAGACGCCTGCGTAGCGGACGTCCGCCTCGGGTGACCCCCCCCCCGCCCCCGCTCCCCCGCCTCCCCGCTGCGCTGGCGCCCAGCGCAGCCCGGCAGGGCCAGGCTAACGCGCATGCTCGCAGCCGGAGGCCTTGCTTTTTATCCCGCAGCGCGGATTCGGCCGCGCCGCGTTTATAGCCACGCCCAGGGAGGGGTCCTCGGGAGGGCCGGAGCTGTGATCTCGGGGTTGGGAGTCTGCGGTGATGCCGAGGCTTGTCCAGCGCGACCCTAGACCAGCGGCTTGTGGGGCGGCTGGGCGTGCAAAGAGGGTTCTGGGTGCGCTCCTTGTCCCAGCTCTGCCTCTCACAACCCCAAGTTTGGGGCAGCGAATTAACTTTTATTGGTCTCAGTTTACTGGTTTGTCCATGGGCTGCTTACAGCCTGCGTCCTGCTCAAAGCTGCAGCGTTTCCCGAAGTGCTGGGACCACCCGGCTGGGCTTTAGGGGGTACAGAGAGCATTGAGCGCCCTGAGATCACAGGAGACCAGGCGACTTCCTCCTCTTTTTGTCGCGCAACAAGTCAGCGCTGGGCGTACGCCCCTCCAACACTCGCTCATTCATTTCCCTGCTTTTGGCGCAGCCTAGGGCAGGCAGCTGGGTCTGGTGGAAATTTAATGACCTTGTTTTTGGTTTTGATGTTAAGGTGTTTAGCTTCAACACTGTAGTCCTCGGCTCAAATGACATCTTCAGCCCCTAGCCCTCACCCCGCTGAAACCCATCTGAAGTAACGCTCCTAAGACACTTCGTATTTTCTGTGTACCGTAGCATCCATTCCTATTTGACACTCTCTCTCTCCCTTACCTCTGTCGGTCTTGATCACCCCTTAAGTCTTAGAAACAACTGGGCCTGACAGTTATTTCATGAGTAGTGAGTTGATATGACTATGTTCTAAGGTCATGTTCTGTTTATGACGTTTTTCACTTATAGTAGTCAGAAAGTTTTTAAATTGTTTACATTTTCAAAAATGAGTCAATTTAAAGTGGTGTACGTCATGCAGAGACCTTCCCCCCACCCCCAAAAAAACGTAAAAGCAGACCTCAAGAGGCCGAAGTTTGGGAAACTGATTTGGTTTCCTGGTTCCCCTGAAATGCAAGTCTTTGTTCTTCTTTTCCTGGAATAACCCTCTTTGGTTGCGCTCAACATGAGATTCTCAGGCAACCCTGAAGCTCACACTTCGTGTTCCCACAGCTGTGGTAGAACTGGCCTAGCTCCGTTCCCCGTTTTTCTGTTTGCACAGTCTCCCTCCTCACTAGACTGAGCTTCCTGAGCAGCCCTTACAGGTCCTTTTCATTTAGTCTTCCCAGCGCCTATTGCATAGTAATATTTACTGAATGAACACTTTCTTTCGGGGGGTCACTTATTTTTTAGGAGGAAAACTCCCTTGGGCATTGAGCTTCAGCATGACTCATCTGATTGCTCAGGAGCCTTCCTGTCTGCTCCTTAACCCTGTTCTTGGGAACCATGAAAAGACCCCAGAGTTGTCCAGTCCATTAAATATATGCTCACAGATATAGCCTCCTCCCTCCCCCGCCTTCATTTCATCCTCACAATCTGGAAGATTAAGTTGTGCAATATGATTATTGTTCTTTTCCAGATGAGGAAAAGGAATGTTCAGAGTGGTCAAATGGCTTCCTGAGATCACACAGCAAGCTAGCGAAGAGCCAGCTGTGGACCTCGTCGCTCCATGCCCAATCTTTTCCTCCCACCACCACATCTGGAATGTACCCAAACTGCCCCTCAGGCTTCCAGGAGAGCCTCCAAGAGAGTCAGTCCCAAGACTGCTAGCAAGCTGCTGCACAGCCACCACATCCTCCACCACAAAGAGAGATGGCGAGGTGGGGCTCATCAGAATCTTTATTTGGAAATGAACTGCTCAAAAAGCTGCATTGATGAGCTTTTCCTTTTAGAATTATAAATATTTACAATAATCATTATTTTGCTGTGAATCGATTTCTGTCAGGCAATTAAGAGTCGTCCTGGTCTGCTGACAGTATTGGTTTGATGCCGGTTTGCCTTTCTAGCAGCAGCATTTTAATGGTATTTATTGATTAGCAGATGGATTGCTCCTAGGTGTTGTGACCAAACAAATTTTGGAAATGAAGCAATTTAAAATTTGTCTCAAAACCCAATTACTTCAGAATACAGAAGACAAATTAAAAGAAGAAACTGTGGACTGTGGATGATGGTTCCTGGTTAATTATTTGGAAAGCTATGATTTTCTCTACTATTCCCATGGCATTTTCTTCCTCCTACCCATTCATCATTCAGAGAAGAGTTACTGAGCACCTATTATTACTGGAAACTGTCCTGGCCATAGGCAGATGGAAATGACAATGAGATGGCCCCTTTCTGTGGGGAATCCAGGTTTGTAAATGGGGAGATGAGTCCACAGCTGGCTCTTCCATGGCCTTACTATGTGATTTGCAAATTTTCAATCAGCAAACATCTTTATTCTTTCTCTTTGCCAGTAGTATTTCAAAATGCTTTCAATTAATGAAGACACATTTGTGGAACTGGATGTAAATCACTCAGAAGTATATAATTAATGGCAACCTGCTTCAGTGATGGTTCCTAGAGGAGAGTGGCTTCCCAGCTGCCCGCTGGTGGCAGTCGGCCTCATGAAGCTAGAATGTGAATGGTGTTGATAAATTTATCGACATGAAATGGCGCCTAGTTATATAAGAAATATAATTAATTTGCACAACTAAATATATTTGTGTCAATAATTTAAAATTATATCCAATATCTTTATAAGAAATAGACATTTACATGAAAACGTAAATGTAAATATAAATAGACAAAGATAAATGTAATATATAAATGTAAATGTAAATAGACATTTACATGAAAATTATGTCCCTATAGTTTAGGGACATAATTTCATAAAATGCTTTCTTGAAAGCAGGTTCTGATAAAGGATACATAGAAGCGATCTCAAAATAATGGGTCTTGGCTGGGCGTGGTGGATCATGCCTGTAATCCTAACACTTTGGGAGGCTAAGCCCAGGAGCTCAAGGCTGCACTAAGCTATGATCTCCTCCAACCTGAGCAGCAACAAAGCAAGACCCTGTCTCTAAAATTAAAAACTATATATATATGTATGTATGTATGTATATGTACACACACACACATATATTAATGGACAAGGCATCCAACAATGATAAAATCACAGGTGAGAATAATCAGTTAAAAATCTAAATAGTCACATTGTAAAAATAATCCACTTGAAAATCATATAAAAGAGGACATAGTAATACTAGAACTAGATGAGCAATCTCACTATGAACATAACTACAACCTTAAGAAACAGCATCTTTTCCACCTGTCTTTTCCGTGGACCTGGAGTGCTATCACATCCCCAGTCTGCCTGTGCATTCCTGTGTATACTGTCAGTACCCAAATATTAATCTCCCCAGTGGTTTTCATTAGCAGTGGCCGGGAGTCCTGCAAAGAAGCTGATTCCGCGTGTGGGAGTAAGGGAACATCAGAATGGCCTGAAACACCTTGCTATTCTCAGAAAACCAGGTTCCTTCCAAAAATTCTGGGTTAATGCTGACAGGACAAAGGAGCAGGCAGTGACAATTTGCATATCACAACAACTGTTTTGTTGATCTACAAGTTGACTCTGAAAAGCTGTGAGGCTTTACTGATAAAACGTTAACATTGTATGTACAAAAATACACCCATAACTGTAATTACAAAACCAGTTACAATTTAAAGAAAGGGTAAAAATAGGATATTTTAGTAAATAGGGATATTTGGTAGATATGAGATCCTGTTTCTTACTTGAAGTTCTGTATGTCTGTTTATGAAATGGTATATTTGTATAAGTTCAAGGGGCATATAAGTTTACTAAGTAAGAGTAAGTCAGGCCGGGCGCGGTGGCTCACGCCTGTAATCCCAGCACTTTGGGGGATCAAGGCAGGTGGATCACGAGGTCAAGAGATCGAGACCATCCTGGTCAACATGGTGAAACCCCGTCTCTACTAAAAATACAAAAAATTGGCTGGGCATGGTGGCACGTGCCTGTAATCCTAGCTACTCAGGAGGCTGAGGCAGGAGAATTGCCTGATCCCAGGAGGCGGAGGTTGCAGTGAGCCGAGATCGCGCCATTGCACTCCAGCCTGGGTAACAAGAGCGAAACTCCATCTCAAAAAAAAAAAAAAAAAAGAGTAAGTCAAAGACTTCCAGAAGACTAGGAACCGTGCCAAAATCAGTAAGGGCAGGTCAGGACCAGTGGTCTCATAAATAACCAGGTAAAAGGGGGGCTTAATAATTTATGTTGCAAGTTAATGGATTAGCCAGATGTCCTAAGGGAGAAGCTGATAGATTAAACTGCTATATGGCCCTGCTAATTTTAATGAAATGCTAATGATGCATAATGAAGGTTATTGTAAACTGTGGCAGAACATCACATACCCAAGACTTCATGCACATGGGAGTGAAAATTGCAAGAACTTGTTGTAAGTCCTGTTAACATAACAGTTGAAATGATCTGAGGGACCCCAAACGAGCCAATGCCTGCTGCCACCAAGAATCCACCAGTCAAGGCCCATGGCTGCCATTCAGTGCACCTGGGAAGGAGATCATCTTTCTCTCTGCCATCCAATAAGTGCAATCCTGAAAAAATTTAAAATACATATTGTAGAGATGACAAAGAAATTGGTCACGTCAATAACACCGTTTTTTGGACATAGAGTCTTGCTGTCACCCAGGCTGGAGTGCAGTGGTGGCAAGATCTCGGCTCACTGCAACCTTCACCTCCAGGATTCAGACCTCCTGCCTCAGACTCCTGAGTAGTTGGGATTACGAGCACTTGCAACCACTCCCAGCTACTTTTTGTGTTTTTAGTAGAGATGGGGTTTTACCGTGTCGGCCAGGCTGGTCTCGAACTCTTGACCTCAAGGGATATGCTGCCTTGGCCTCTCAGAGTACTGGAATTACAGGTGTGAGCCACACACCCAGCCTAATAACTGTTTTTACAAAATTAAGGTATGTGTGCAGTAAAAACTTTTGTGTTAAATTTTAAAGTGTTTGAAGCATTTTGAAATTACATTCAACAGTTACATTGAAACAAGATTATTTGTGTAAATGTTTAGAAAAATTTTATTTTGAAAGTTTTATCAGTTGTATTTAAATAGTTTAGGGATAAAGGTGACTATATAACACATTTTTCTTAAGTCAACTATAAGTAGGAGTAACAGACCCATGATTTAAAAAAAAAAAGGGACAGGGAGTGAAATATGGATCCCAGCAACTGAAAGGAAAACCAGGAGAGCTACTGGAGCCTAGCACTGTCGGGGTGTACAGCTGGGACCCACTAAACAGTTGTTGAAGAAAGGGAGAAGGGGTAGAGGGAGGAAAAGGAAAAATACATAATTAAGCATTTATTTGTAGTTGTAGTGGAAATAGCATTGCTTTGGATGTTCAGAAGAGAGAAAAAGTATTTCAAATAAAGCATGGCATCTGGTGTCCGTACTAGAGGGCTGGTTAAACGGATGGTTCAGCCATACGTGGAAATACGACACGGCAGTTTGAAAGAATGAGAGTGGCACGTGTGGGGACCCAGGGTGTGCTCTGCAATACATCCTTGAGTGAAAAGAGCCAGGTGCAGGACAGCATCTGGAGCACACTGTCACTTGTGAACATGATTGTACCTGCATACGAAAGCTGAAAATGTGGAAAGATACTGGCCATAGGGTGGACAGCTTTGGAGACAGTGGCTGGGCCGGGAGATCTGGCTCACAGGAAGACTGACTTCCCTGAACATTCTTTTGAAATATTGAGATATTTTACCATAGGCGTGTACTGCCTTTTCAGAGAAGAAAGGGGAGGATTTGGAAGCCCAATCTCTGGTCCTACTTTTATTACTCAGTAGCTTTGACTTTGGGCAAGTAACTTATCTGCAAGGTGCTTCGTTTCTCTGGACAATGAAGGTGTTGAGTCCCACATCAGGGGGTGGTGGAAGGGAAATGAGACAAGAGTTCAGAAAGTGCAGTTGAGTACCGTGGGTAGGGGTGAATCGGGTGGTCTCAGCCCCTTTGGGGACCACAGAAGCTCAGCAGCAGCAGCAGCAGCAGCAGCAAAAGTGACAGCCAACACACGGAACGGTGTTTGACTTAACTGCTCCCACGAGCCAGCCGCAGAACTCGAAAAAGTCACCTTAACGTCTCTGGATTTTAGTTCTCTTATCTGCAAAAGGGCAGTGGTGGGAGAGTGGCAATTATACTAGATGGTTCACTTCAGCTAAAAAAGACCAAAAAGCATGATTTTAATATTGGTTGGAAATGATTCAGTGCAGTAACAGAGGCATTAAAAAAAGCCCCCAGGGGAGTTTACAGTACAGAGCTATCACTTCCAGCTGCAAATGTGCAGAGAGGAGGACATTGCAGAAGGGAGAAACTCGTGGTCTCTTTACCTAAGTCACCCACACCTTGATGCCAGGCACCTGTTCACTCTTTCAGCTATTTTTGTAAAGGCCAACAGAAAAGAGAGTTACCTGGACCGTCTGTAAAATGGTGGCCCCCAAGGAACTATGCTTCCTTGTAATGAAATCCTAGTGTGATCCCCTCTGACACTGACTTTGGGATTGGCCATGTGACTTGCTTTCGCCATGAGACACAAACACAGCACAAGCACAAGCACAGACTTGATAAGCACTTGCACACTGGGGCTTTGGACACTGCCTCTGGAAGCCAGCCTCCATGCTGCCAGGAAGCTCAAGCCAAACTACCAGATGACGAGAGGACATGGAGAGGAAACCCGGAGGACAGGAGTCCTCATGGGCATCCAAGTCTTAGCTGTTCCCCAGCCAGTGCCACCACATGGGCAACCTCAGCAACCCTGCATTGTGCAAAAGAACTACCCAGCTGAAGCCAGTCCACCCACAGGATTGCAAAACATGGTAACCTGTTGTTGATTTCAGCCACTAAGTACGGGAGTCATTTGTTGGGCAGCAATAGGTAACTCAGTCTTGTGGGAAGCTAGGATTTCCGTTTCAGGGGGGGCTTTGAGAGTTGCTGAGTCCATTTGGAAGAAGGACGCAATCTTAAGCTTGCTTCCCCAGGATTTCAGTTTCAGGGAGTCCATTTGGGGGAAGCTAGGATTTCCGTTTCAGGGAGGGTTTCGAGAGTTGCTGACTCCATTTGGGGGAAGGATGTAGTCCTAAGCTTGCTTCCCCAGAAGCAAAAGGGGAATAAGATAAACAGACCTTGGGTTGTTTGGCTTCAAGCTGTCTTTCAACCAAAGAAACTTTACTGAAGAAAAAAGGAGAAACTTGGCTGAGATCTGAAGTGTGATGAGAATACGGATCAGGGAAGACAGACCAGGAGGCCTCTCTGAAAGTAGGAAGCCACAGAAGCAACAGTGCCAAGGAGGACAACCCAGGGTGGTCCTGGCTGCAAGAGGACACCTTGCTGAGAGCACCGCAGTTGGCAGGAAGCAGGCATTTTCCAGAAGAATCCTGAAGGAAAATACTCTGTTCTGCTCTCAGCTAACCTATGCAACTATCAGACCACGTACTCCATAGAGTCCAGAGGTGGCTGCTGGGGGTGAAGTGGAAATCGAATGGAATAAAATAATATGGCGGCATGGGCCCAGCCTTCTAGGGCTTTCCACACCATTCATCTCACATAACCTTCACACCATCCTGCAGGGTTGGGAGGGCATGCATAAAAAGCCTCATCCCAAAGATGAAAGAACAGAGAACAAAAAGGGCTAAGGGACTTTTGTGAGGCCACACAGCAATCTGGGACCTGGAAACGTGAGCTCATGCATCCCAGGCCTTTCTGCTGTGCCTCTATCATCCCCTCGTCCAGAGAGGGTGGTGGCTCTGCATGTGTTTAGTCGGAAGTGTGGGGTGAGAACAGCCACTGGAAAGAAAGCCCCGTTGTGACAAGGTTATGCTCTGAGCTGCCTGGCCCACTCACCCCGCTGGCCTGTGTTCTACCCAGGGCGGGCCACATGTCCCAGGGTTTCTGCTGAGCAACTGGTCAGCATGCTGCTGAGCACCCAGGCCCCATGTGAAATGGTCAGCGGCTTTCCTTCTACCAGTGCCAGCTGCTGCAGCTGCCAGCCTCTGCCTGGCCTCCACCACTGATGCCGCTGTAAGAAGAAGATTCCCGTCTTAACAGAGTTACTCGCTGTGAAAGGAAGAAGGTTCCCATCTTAACAGAGTTACTCGCTGTGAAAGGAAGAAGGTTCCCGTCTTAGAGTTACTCGCTGTGAAAGGAAGAAGGTTCCCGTCTTAACAGAGTTACTCGCTGTGAAAGGAAGAAGGTTCCCGTCTTAACAGAGTTACTCGCTGTGAAAGGAAGAAGGTTCCCGTCTTAACAGAGTTACTCGCTGTGAAAGGAAGAAGGTTCCCGTCTTAACAGAGTTACTCGCTGTGAAAGGAAGAAGGTTCCCGTCTTAGAGTTACTCGCTGTGAAAGGAAGAAGGTTCCCGTCTTAACAGAGTTACTCGCTGTGAAAGGAAGAAGGTTCCCGTCTTAACAGAGTTACTCGCTGTGAAAGGAAGAAGGTTCCCGTCTTAGAGTTACTCGCTGTGAAAGGAAGAAGGTTCCCGTCTTAACAGAGTTACTCGCTGTGAAAGGAAGAAGATTACCATCTTAACAGAATTCTCATGCATGCCTTTCAAACCGAGGCGCTCACAGGTTGATGGAAGAGGATGACACAGAGTGGAGGCAGCTGCACTCGGGTGTTTATAATGCACATACATGATTCATCTCAAACCAGACAAGCGTGATTCACCTGATGGCTCGCCATTTCTCAGAGATGCCAGCCGTCTTACAACTCTGAGCCTCTGCAGGTGTCTAGAACATTTTACCCAGATTTCTCTACCTGCTAGACTTTTTTCCATCCTTCAAAACTCAGACAAAATGTCCCTGCTCTGCGAAGCCCTCCTTTCTTCCCAGGCGGCTCTGACAGCACCTTTCCATGATTCTTACATAATGTACCATATCTGTTCATGTACTTGACTTCCCTGTTGAACAGAGCACTCCTGCAGGCCAGCAGCAGGGACGGACTCACCTCCCGTGCCTTCTCCCCAGCAGAGGACCTCAGCCATCATGGTTGAAGCAGTTGGTAGGGAACTGACAATCCGGTGTAAGGAAATTTTTAAAACTGTCAGCAAGTTCACTGAATAACATTTGGGGGGAATTCACTATGAAAAAGGGAGCAGGCCATTAATTCATTCCTTAAGTATTTATGGAGTGCCTACCAAGTGCCCAAGTGTGCTCCAAAGATGCACTGGGGAGGCAGAGGATCTGTCCTCAGATCCAGATTTCACAGCCCCGTGGAGGAAGTGATGCCTAACGAGGTGAGTGCCATACAGCGCAGCACTCATGGGAGAAAACTGCTCTGGAGCAAAGGCAGGGGGACAGAGTCCACCTGAGGAGTCCGGAAGATGTGGGAGGCACAATGCAGGGGAGTGGAGAGTCCCTGGGAAGAGTGCCTCAGGCTGAAGGGACAACCTAGGCGAGAAATAGCCCGCCAGTCACAGGGGATTTTGGTCAGAAGGGGAGGCCAGAAGGTAAGAAAACCGGGTTTGCCCGATCGCATTTAAGAGTGGCTCTCTTGGCCAGCCTTATTGAGGTGGCTGTTTTGAGTTGTTCTCACCAGCCCCCACTGAAGACAAAAGATGACTGTGTACAAGCTCTCACCTGGTCAGGCCCTCATGACTGGCCGCTTACATTGTCAAAGACAGCTGCTTGCACAGCTGGCCTGAAAGGCAAATAAGAAACGATCCATGGTGTCACCTCAAGTGCCTCCAAATCACTGAAGCACATGCTGAGAGCCCACCGCTCACGTTGCAGATGAGGAAGCAGAGGAGGGGAGGGAGTTGTCTAAGACCACACCGCAGGATAAGCATTGGGTGACAGGGTGGGAACCAGGCACCTGGGGAGACAGAGCTGCAAAGGACACTGTCCTCAGCCGTGAGGGCCTTACAACGTGTTATTGACTGAACTGTGTCCCCTTAAACTCGTATGTTCCTGACCCTGCAGTACTTCCAAATCTGGCTGCCTTTGGAGATAGGGCTTTAACAAGGTTATTAAGGTAAAATGAGGTCATATGAATGGACCTTAATCCAATATGACCAGGGTTCTTATAAAAAGAGGAAATTAGGACAGAGACACACAAAAGACACACAGAAAAGATGGCCATCTACAAGCCACCATCTACAAGAGGGGCCTCAGAATGAACCCAACCCTGCTGACACTTTGATCTTGGACTTCTAGCCACTAGAACGGTGAGGACATAAATTCCTATTGCTTCAGCCACCCAGTCCATAGTATTTGTTACACCAGCCACAGAAAACTAGTACAGAACCCTTGAAAACAGACGTGAACACTACTCATGAGTCCTAGAGTAACAGGGATTCCGGTGAGCTGCCTGACGGCAGGCAGCACTGTGAAATCCCCAGCCCCCAAGATCGCCTGGCACCTGCCTCTTAATACCGCACTCCAGCTCAGCTCCTTGGCAGCCAGGGCCCCAGCAGGAGGCAGAGGGCACCTCAAACTGGGCAACTGGAGGAACATTTAAGGCAGGGGCTCTTTACAAAGGTATGGGCAGGGTTTAGGGAGGTCAGAGAGAAACGATGCTGCCCTTCTGCATCCTCCCCTCACACCAGGTCTGCAGGCATGAGGAGGGAGTGCCTACTAGAACCCAGGGCCAGGACAGGGCCTGTGCAGAGGAGTCCACCTTCAGCAAGATGGTCCATCAACACTCTACAACCCAGACAGGGAGACTGAGGAATAAATGTCCAGACCTTACTCCCCTCCCACCCTCCTGGTTTCCTGCCAGAGTCCCCCCTTGTCTGAAGCCAACTTGAAGACACCTTTTGAGGACGCCTTCACTGTTCTGGGACTGTGGGGGCTGAGCCTCTGGGATCAGTCACCTCCCTAACCTCCCGCATACAAATTGATGAGCACACATTTCAACCTGCTACAACACAGACAAGCAGAACCCCTCTTCAGAAGCACATTTATGAAGTTCCCACAGTCACTGGCTCAGAGAGGAATGCTGCTGTAACAGCTGAGAGAAAACTGATAACCCTGAAAAAAGCGTCCATGGAAATCTCAAATCCCGCCCATTGTTTAAAAACAGCGTCTCACCTAAAAGAAGTGACGGATTCGTTTCTTTCATTATGCTGCATCAAGCTATCCACGTGGACAAAAACCGTTACAGCCTGACTTGATTCCCTTCCATTCTTAGGAGTCAGGGGTGGCATTTGGTGGGCATCTCTTGATGCATAATCTTATGCCGGTTTCTATAAACAGGCTCAGCTTCCATCTGCATAAGAACTCCAGAGAAAGGACATGTGAAGAAACTTTCAGGCTGTGCATTCATTCACTGTCTTTGGCGACCACACCCCTGGTGCACACCCAGAGGGTGATGGCAGCTGCCCTGTAAATTATTGGGTGGGCATCTTGAGAGGCAGGGAGATACAGTGACCTCCAAGCCCAGTCAAGGCATAGCAGAGGGAAGGACTATATAACATGGGCGACTCAGGGTGACATTTGTCAATAGGTACAGTGTGCACACTGTCTAATGAGAAAGAATGCTAGCCCCTGTGGTGCCAGGGGTTACCCCTTTAATTTCAGAGGGAGGAGGTCCTGGGAGTTTGGGCCTAGCAGGCTATACTGGTTGGAGTATGGGGACACAGGGTCAGGGCTCAGAGCAGTTGCTATTTACTAAATCACTAAATAGGGAAAGATTTCATTAGTATAATAACCACCAGGACCATAACTCATGCATATGGATTGAACAGAAGCCCTGCTGGTAGGTGGCCAACTGGTCCTGGGTGGTCTGGGCCTTTCCTGGTTTCCTCATGGGAAGTCCCAGAACCTCTTTAGCACTGCCCTGGGTGTCTTTCAATCAGTTATGGTATCTGCCGGTCAGGTTACTCAGCACGGGCTGGAAGCCTTCAAAGGGGAGCTGTCTGTACCAGCGGGGAAAGCTCTCCTCCCTTCCCCTTGCAGAGTCAAGATTACCATGGGCAGTGGGGGAATTCACCCCACGCTCCCCAGTTAAAGCCCTGCTTCATTTGCTTTGAATGAAGTCCAAGCAGTTCTCACCCACAGAGGTCCTTGGCAACCAAGCTCACCTCTCCACCTGTGCTTTCCACTGCAAGCTCAGTTCCAGTTGCACCTCTGCATTTAAAGAACCTGAGGAATAAATCACCACCACGGGGCCCTGCTTGAGAAAACAGTCCCCTATCTGCTCCCACCCCTGCTCCCCTTTGTAGATCTCCCTCCAGCTCTCTGGGATGGAAGTCATCTACTCAGAGGCTTCCCCAATCCTGCAGATTAAGGCCAGTGTCCTTCCTGCCTGTTTCCTGGGTGCACTGTACTGCCCCATCCCATGCATCATTATGACTTGTCTAACTATCTTCTCCCTCAGAACTGCAAGCTGCCTCAGGGCACAAGTTCAAGCACCTGGCAAAGAGGGGTGTATTACACTGATCTCACGTGGCTTTCAAGAAATATTTGAGACTCAGGAATTTACAAAGAGGATGCATTGGCTCACAGTCCCACAAGCTGTACAGGAAGCATAGCCCTGGCATCTTCTCAGCTTCTGGGGAAGCCTCAGGATTGTAAGCCTTCTACAATCATGGCAGAAGGTGAAGGGGAAGCGGGCACATTTTACATACTAAGAGCAGGAGCAAGAGAGGGACAGGGAGAGGTGCTATACACTTTTTTATTTTTTATTTTACTTCAAGTTCTGGGGTACATGTGCAGGTCATTCAGGGTTGTTGCATAGGTGCATACTATATCCAGCATTTCTCCCCATGTTATCTCTCCCACCCCCCGCTGTACCTCCCCTAGCCCCACCCCCAACTAGCCCCAGTGTGTGATGCTCCTCTCCCTGAGTCCACATGTCCTCATCGTTCAACACCCACCTATGAGTGAGAACATGCAGTGTTTGGTTTTCTGTTCTTATGTCAATTTGCTGAGAATAATGATGGTTTCTAGATTCATCCAAGTCCTTCCAAAGACACGAACTCATTGTATTTTTATGGCTGCATAGTATTCCATGGTGTATATGTGCTACATTTTCTTTGTCCAGTCTATCATTGATGGGCATTTGGGTTGTCCCAGGTCTTTGCTATTGTAAACTGTGCTGCAATGAACATATGTGTACATGTGTCTTTATAGTAGAAGGATTTACAGTTCTTTGGGTGTTTACCCAGTAATGAGATTGCTGGGTCAAATGGAATTTCTATTTCTAGATCCTTGAGAAATCGCCACACTGCCTTCCACAATGGTTGAACTAAGTTATACTTTCATCAACTGTGTAAAAGTGTTCCTGTTTCTCCACATCCTCTCCAGCATCTGTTGTCTGGCCAAGACAATCCTAAGCAAAAAGAACAAAGCCAGAGGCATCATACTGCCAGACTTCAAACTATACTACAAGACTACAGCAATCAAAACAGCATGGTACTGGTACCAAAACAGAGACATAGACTAATGGAACAGAACAGATGCCTCAGATGCAACACCACACATCCACAACCATCTGATCTTTGACAAATCTGACAAAAACAAGCAATGGGGAAAGGACTTCATGTTTAATAAATGGTGTTGGGAAAGCTGGCTAGCAATGTGCAGAAAGCAGAAATTGGACCCCTTCCTGTCATCTTACACTAAAGTTAACTCCAGATGGATTAAAGATTTAAACATAAAACCTAACACCATAAAAACACTAGAAGAAAATGTAGGCAAAACCATCCAGGTCATAGGCATATACAAGGACTTCTTGACTAAAACACCAAAAGCAATGGCAATAAAAGCCAAGATAGAGAAATGGGATCTAATTAAAATTCAGAGCTTCTGTACAGCAAAAGATTCAATCATTAGAGTGAACTGGCAACCAACAGAATGGGATAAACCTTTGCAGTCTACCGATCTGACAAAGGGCTAATATCCAGAATCTACAAAGAACTAAAACAGATTTACAAGAAAAAAAAACAAACAACCCCATTCAACAGACTTGTGAAAAGACACTTTTCAAAAGAAGACATATATGAGGCCAAAAAACATGAAAAAATGCTCATCATCACTGGTCATTAGAGAAATGCAAATCAAAACCACATTGAGATACCATCTCACCCCAGTTAGAATGGTGCTGTACACTTTTATACAACCAGATCTCACAAGAACTCTGTCAGGAGAACAGCACCAAAGGGATGGTGCTAAACCATTCACAGAGGATCCACCACCATGATGTAATCACCTCCCATCAGGTCCCACCTCCAATGGGGATTACAATTCAACATGAGATTTGGGTGAGGACACAGATCCAGACTATATTAAGTGGGCCTCCCATAAATATTGAGTGAATAAAACAACTAGATAGGAGTTAAAGAAAGTGACATGGGTAAACTGGAGCCCTTTTTGGTAAGTTAATTAAGCCATTGGCCCTATGTGCCTGTACTCTGTATAAATAGGAAAGCTCTGCCTTCAGCTCACCGCTGTGAGGCCAGGCTGGGTAGGAAAAGAAGCGGAGACCCAGGATTCGGTTATTACCGTGTGGTGGTTAATTGTTCATTAATCCATTCAATTCATTCATTCCATTAACTTCTTCCATTAATCCATTCTTTTCCTTTAAGATCCACAGTGTGCTAGGCACTGCCTAGGCTCTGGGGGTACAATGATGAGTGAGACGGACAAGAGTCCTCCTTTCGTGGGGCCTGGAATTGTTACCAGTGGCAAATTCGTGCAGGTCTTGCTTCTCAAAGGAAAGAATTCATCTGAGGAAGGACCCTTCCTCAGGACAAGCAGGAAGGGAAAGGAAGTAAAGTATACTCAGAAGAGGCCAAGAGGGCAACTTGAGAGATTCAAGTGCCCTGTTTGACCTTTGATTTGGAGTTTTATGTGTTGGCTTATTTCCAGGGTTTTGCATCTCTCCTCCCTTGATTTTTCCTTGGGGCAGGCTAACTGCATGAACAGTGGCCCGCCAGCACCTGGGAGGGGCCGCATGCGCAGTGTGTTTACTGAAGTTGTGCACATGCTCACTGAGGCATTTTCCCCCCACCAGTAGTAGTGTGTTCCTAGAGAAAGGTCAAATATACCAGTTCAATGGTATATTTTGCCTTTCTTAGTGCATGTGCTTGAGCCCACTCGACCAAGTCCTGAGTCCAACTCCTGAGATCTCATTGGGAAGCTGCTGATCACCAGCTTCAGGTTCTGTGGGGTGGGATTGAGATCGGGTCTCACTCTGTCACCCAGGTTGGAGTGCAGTGGTGCGATCTCAGCTCACTGCAACCTCCACCTCCCAGGCTCAAGCAGTCCTTCTACCTCAGACTCCTGAGTAGTTGGGACCACAGGTGCATGCCACCACGCCCAGCTAATTTTTTTTTTTTTTTTTTTTTTTTTGTACAGATGGGGTTTTGTCAGTTTGCGCAGGCTGGTCTTGAACTCTTGACCTCGAGCAATCCACCACCTCCCGAAGTGCTGGGATTTACAGGTATGAGCCACCACACTGGGCTGGGTGTTTTCTATCTATTGAGAGACTGGCTTTCTCTGGCACTGGCTGTGATCAATTATTATTTTAGAGAGACAGTTTAACAACCACCTGACCATCACCTGATGGTTGTCTAACCTTCCTGGGGGGACCCTTTCCTGCCCTGCTCAGATCTGCCTTGCTACCTACTCTGACAGGATGGCTGACACTAAACAAGCACAGGGTAATTTCATCTAAGGAGTAACACGAAGGGAAAAAACAACACGTAAAGTTTTCTAGACTATGTCTGCAGAAGGGAATGAATCTTCGAAGTGGGTGAGCAGGAAAGGTCTCTGCAAGCAGGTGACATCTGAGCTGAAACCTGAGTGATGAGAAGGAGCCAGCCTGGTAAACACCTGAGAGAAAAGTGACCCAGATGGAGGAAGCGACCAGTGCCAGTGTCCTGAGATCAGAACACTGCTGTGTGTGAGGAGCAGAAGAACGGCTGTGAGGCAGGTTCATTCAGGGGCAGAGGAAAGGACCCTGTTACTGCGCTTTTCCCTGTCTCCTCCATCTGCCTTTCTCTGTCTCGGTGATCATCAAAGACCCTGTGTCTCCTCCTCTCGTGGAACTGCCCTTTTGGGATTTCTATAGACTCTGAAGTATAAAA